TGGGGCTTTCATCGCCATGTGTGTTGCTGAGATCTCCCTTCCGAAGTGTCAGGGGAGACCACAAGGGGATCCTAGACTTCATCTCACATGGCAGTAACAAGGTGCCACTCTCCCTCCCCATCAGAGTCAGAGGAGGCCAAGTGAATTGGCAGAGTGGATTTAAAAACATGACCCAGCTATAAGCAAGAGCATAATACTCGGAGGGGGGCGGGGGTCGCTAATCTCAAAAGGTCACATGCTGTATGATTCCATTTATATAACATTCTAGAAATGACAAAATTATAGAAATAGAAAACAGATTAGTGGTTGCCAGGGGTTAGGGATGGTGACGGGTGGAGAAAGAATGTGAAACCAGAAAGATCTTTATGTTAATGGAATAGCTCTGTATCTCACTTGCAATGGTGTTTACAAATCTACACATGTGATAGGGCATAGGATGATACACACTCACTGAACCCCTGTTGGTTTCCTGGGGGTTTTTTTGTTTTGTTTTTTTGTTTGTTTTTTTAAAATATATTTTATTGATTTTTTACAGAGAGGAAGGGAGAGAGATAGAGAGTTAGAAACATCGATCAGCCGCCTCCTGCACATCTCCCACTGGGGATGTGCCCGCAACCCAGGTACATGCCCCTGACCGGAATCGAACCTGGGACCCCTCAGTCCGCAGGCCAACGCTCTATCCACTGAGCCAAACCGGTTTCGGCGGTTTCCTGGTTTTGATATTGTACTCTAGTTAACATTAAGATGTACATGGCACCTCTTTGTCCTATCTTTGCAATTTCCTGAGAACCTATAAATATTTCAAAATAAACAATTTAATGAACCACGAATACCCATAATAATGTGAATAAATCACCGAGACATTATGCCAAGTACATAAAGCCAGATGCAAAAGAGTGTATTATGTGTGATTTCATTTATATATAACTATAGGAAAGACAAATCTAATTTATGGTGACAACAAACCCATGGCTTCCTGGGGCCAGGGAGTTGACTGAGCACAAAGGAGCATTGTGGTGCAGTGAAAACATTGCTTATACTAGTATTTAAGTGGTCATAAATGTAAGGATGTATAAATCTGTCAGAACTCAGGAGGATATACATTTTAAATGCATGCATTTTATTGTACATAAATTGTATATTACTGTCTGTTTATAATCACTTCTTAATAAAACAAAAAATCACCAAATCATAGTTTATGAATAAGAAAAGAGCAAAATATTTTCATAAACAGTAAAATATATAATTGTACCTTTTTATTATAAAATATGGCTTACTTGATGGCGTATTTTACAGACCTAGAAAAAATATTCCAAAAATTTATATGAAACCAAAAAAGATCCCAAATAGTCTCAACAACCTTGAGGAAAAAAAAACAAAGATGGAGTTATCACAATATCTGATATCAAACTATACTGCAAAGCCATTGTCATCAAAACAGCCTGGTACTGGCATAAGAACAGGAATGTAGACCAATGAAACAGAACAGAGAACCACTTCTTTATGGTCAGTTAATATTTGCCAAAGGAAGCAAGAGCATACAATGGAATAAAGACAGTCTCTTCCATAAATGATGCTGGGAAAATTGAACAGGTATATGCAAAAAAAAAAAAAAAAAAAAAAATGAAACTAGACCACCAACTTACACCATATATAAGAATAAACTCAAAATGGATTAAAGACTTAAATATAAGTTTCGAAACCATAAAAATCCTAGAAGAAAACATAGTAAAATCTCAGACATCTCTCATAGCAATATTTCTGACAATATGTCTCCTAGGGCAAGGGAAACAAAGAAAAAATTAAACAAATGTGTTTTCATCAAATTAAAAAGCTTCTGCACAGCAAAAGAAACCATCAATAAAATTAAAAGGGAACCACTGTATGGGAGAGCATATTTGGCAATGATGCATCTAATAAAGGGTTAATATCCAAAATATATTATAAAAAATTCTCCAGGAGAAAAAAGAGAAAGAACTATATAAGGGGAAAAATGCTAGTAAATATTAAATAGTGAGTCAAAGTGAAAATATAAGGCCCATCACTGGGCAGTCTTCCCATACATACCCAAATGCAGTTCCCTTTAAACTGGCTGACTCAGGTCCTAGAAATAGGAAAAAAGCAAGGAAATGCCAAGTTCCCACCCCTGAGAGAAGTTTCCAGCAACTAAGAGAAGGCTACCCTCTGAAGAGGACCCTAGGAGGGTAGTGAGAAATCCACTCCACACCTAACTCACTCACACAGATCCTGGGCTGCCTGGGGAGAACGCTCTCACAGGTTGGCACGTTGTTGCAAGTCACCGTCTCTCGGACCCAGACAATAGGTGCCCGGTGCTCCAGCCTGAAGACTGTGCCTCTGCCTTACCCCTCGCATTGCCCATGATTCTTTGCTCCACGTACCAAAAAATCAATTCCAAGTGCTTTTTTACAAAGCAAAGACATTTACTGGCTCCTACGATTTAAAACGGCAAGAGTTGTGTGACCTCAGGTGTGGCTGGACCGAGGGGTTCAAACAACATCATCAGGACTCAGTCCCTCTCTTTCCCTCCATGTCACAGCTTTGCTTTCCTCCGTGTCGGCTTTATTCTCTGATAACCTTTCTCGCGTGCGGCCACTGGAGTCAAGAGCCAACAGGTCATTACAGGCCCACCTCAGGGGTGTTGCAGGTTCGCTTCCTGGCCACCACAACAAAGCAAGGATTGCAATGAAGAGAGTCATCTTTTTACCGGTGGAGAGTCATGCTTTCAATTTGTGAAGAAAAAAAAAACACCCCAAAACATCATTTGTGAAGCGCAATAAACTGAAGGGTAATAAAATGAGGCCTGCCTGTAGTCAATAAACAACCAGGATGGAAACACAGAGACTTCATTCTATTTCCATCAACGTCCCAAAAGTAAGCCTCTTTGGCTCTGATTAGTCCATCCTGGGCCATGTGTCCACCTCCTAAACCAATCACAATCCAAGGTGATGTAATACTCTAATTGGTCGGTTTTCATTGCATCATTAATTGGAAGATAAGGAGCAAAATCATTATGCAGCCTGAGTTTCACCAACAATACACACATGTGAGTAAAAGCAATAAAAGTAAAAAAATAGAAATAAAGGAATCTCTGGGAGACTGAGTAGGTTTTCAGATTTTGTTCTCTTCCAGGTAATAAGAAGTGCTAGCCCACTAAGTGTAAGAAGCTTCCCTGAGAAGTCTGGAGATATTATAAGTTAATATATGTAAAAAGCACTTCGAAGAATGTCTGGCCCAAAGTAAATACTATAAAACTGTTAATTATCATCACAGAAGAAAGATCCTGGAGGAAAAATAAACATATCCTAATAGGCAAGGTGGAGGTACAGAATAGTTTAATTTAAATATTGAAAGGAGTGTAACTGGATTTTGTAACAAACTGGTGAAGCAGGTTCGATTACTTCTTGCCGCTTTGATTCACAGTTTGAGAATGACAAGGCATTTAAAATATCTTTTCTGGCCCTAGCTGGTTTGGCTCAGTGGATAGAGCGTCGGCCTTCAGGCTGAAGGGTCCCAGGTTCAATTCCAGTCAGGGGCACATGCCGGGTTGCAGGCTTGATCCCCAGTAGGGGGCGTGCAAGAGGCAGCCATGCAATGATTCTCTCTCATCATTGATGTTTCTATTTCCCTCTCCCTTTCTCTCTGAATTCAATAAAAATAGATTTTAAAAATTAAGTATCTTTTCCATCATCAATGCAAGGAAATTTGGTACAGAATAAATATCCAATACTGATTACAGATGGGGGACTGATAGGCACTGGAGTATACCCTCCTACACCAAATTCCAGCTGTAGAAACAATAGGGACTATAAACAAATGACTGTTCTCCAAAACTGAAAAGGGAATGCTTGGAGGAACAGAAGAGAGAATATAGGAACCACTGATCAATGTGTAGGTCACCATATTGTGGAACTTCTTTGTTATGAAGCTGAGCCTATACTGTCACTGACAGGAATACCTTCAAAATTCTGAGGGAAGTTAATTTCCCATCCAGGAGTCTATTTCTAGGCAAATTACCAATCAAATGTGAGTTGAATAATGACTTTTTCAAACATGCAAGATATCAAAAAATGCACCTCTTAAGCACTCTTCCTCAGGAATCTTCTGGAATAGATACACCCGCAGGCTCCATGTGCACTGGCTGCACAATAAACAAATATGTAAGTACTATCTCACTAACCATTTTCCTAAAAATTCACTGATAAACCACCATTCCTCACATGGGCCCGTGAATTGTGTGATACATTTTTAATCGAGTTGTTTATATAGATAAAGGGCCTGCAAAAATTATTTGCTTTAGACCCTATACATCCTAGGAAGAGTCCTAACTAATCAAAGCAACAGACTTTTACAATAATGAGCACACAAGGATTTAAGAATGAAGAGGTCTTAAGAGATCAACCAAAGGACTTGTATGCATGCATATTAGCATAACCAATGGACACAGACACGGGGGGCGGTGGGGGCTTGCCCTCAGGGGGTGAGAGTGGCGGTGGGAGGGGGTCAATGGGGAAAAAGGAGACATGTCTAATACTTTAAAGAACGAAGAAGTCGTAAGACTTGGGAGTGGATTCATCAGAGTGATAAGGACAAAAGGTTACACTAAGGGTCAGAGAATGGGTGGTAGCAATATGAATCAAGTTCATGACACTTCCCGGGCTAGTTCACCCATTCCCCTCCTTGAACTTTAGCCCCTCACTTATAAAGCAGGGATAAGATCCACTCTGTGTTTTGTAAGATTAAAGTAGACACATTCATTCTCTTCTCTTCTCTCTCTCTCTCTCTTCTCTTCTCTTCTCTCTCTCTCTCTCTCTCTCTCTCTCTCCACACACACACACACACACACACCTGGATTGTCAGCCAATTGCCAATTGTTTTTTGGAGATGGGGGTGGCAGTGTATGAATCTTAAGAAAGTCAATCCCTGTGTGGTTTTTTTCATTGTACGGACATTAATAAAAAAAAAACAGTGATGCCTGGGAATTAATTTTGAAGATCATTTATTTATGTTGGTAAAGTACAACAGGCCTATGACTATTTACAAAACATCCCAAGAGCCACTTTGGTTTTGGAAAGCCAGGAGGCAGAGCAGAGGAAAGATGAGACTGAGAGATAAGTTGTTTTACATAATAAACTAAGAATAATACTGACTTTCCTCAAGTACACCATTAGTGGGGAGGGGAGAGAGGGAGGAAGAGGTGAGACAGCCTGGGAATAAGCAAAAAGAAGGTAAGGTAAGATATTTCCACAACAAGGAACCTGTGGGTTGGACATGGGGGTACTGGGGAGTCAAGTAGGCCACAGAGACATTTCTGGTGGCAGGAATGATTTCAAAAAATGTTAAGAATATAGATGGCTAATATGAATCCTTACAGATGATCCTGTCTTTGTTTAAAATTTTGATATTTTGTTCATCAGGGTTATTTATCTTGATTACTGGGTTTTTGTGGGGCCCCTTAAGTGTTGCACCTGAGGTTAAGTACCACTCACCTCACCCTAGTCCCTGCCCTGGTTATTACCTCTTCAGACCTTCAGTACAAGTCTGCTGGGTGGAAGACCTTTGGGTTAGTGATAGCTTTTAAAAATGGTTCAACACAGGATGGAGCAAGAAAGCCATCAACAGTAGACATACATAAAAATTGTCTAAAGTCAGTGTGAACAAGGAATTTGAATAATGTACGATTACACGGTAAACATTAGAAAGAGAAAGATAAACAGTTTGGGATGGTTAGAGGGTGCTGGCAAGGATCCCAGAGAAGAAATGGAATTTCTCTGTCCTCTGTACCTTCTGCTGGGCCGCACAACACACTTGTCCTTCAATCTTTACTTCTCAAAAATGGAGTGAGAAGCCCAAGGTGCTGTGGGCCTGGCCCGGCAGTTCAGTCCTAAACAGAGAGGCCAAGAACTGGATGTTGGATCCCTGAGGAAAATAGATTCCGGTGGGGCTGGAGGGAGTGAACAGGATTAACCTCTCAACCCCTTTACACAAATGTTGAGAAGAGCCAGCTTCAGAACAAGTAAACCCAAGTCATCTAGAGATGCCAATTTCCTGGCGAGGGGGTTTAAGAGGCTTATCTTGACACCATGTTTGCTAATGCAAATTGGCTACAAACAAGAATGAAACGTAGAGTCCATACCTCCTCCACTAATGAAGCTGGGGAGGCAAGAACAAGGCACAGAGCCTCTGGTCCCTGTTCCACTACTTGTTCTGGATGAATCCAACCTTCATTTTTCTTGTGTCAGCAACCAAGAGTGAGTACTGTTAGGGAAATCACCCCTGAGCCATGTTTCTCTACCTCTTCCCCCATTATTGCCCCTACAAAGCCTGGAAGACATGTTTTTCCTAATCGCTCTCTGTCCTGACTCCATGAAACTTTAATCTGTTTATGTGCATGGCCCTTTGGAAGGGCACCAACCACTGTAATAACGAAGACGTTGTTGCCCCACTGTGAGGGTGCACAACCTGAGGCCAGTTCCTTCACATTTTCCAGGTTTTATCTCCTCCCTCGGGGTCTTCTCCTGCATCCCAGCCTCCCCTCTCACTGGCTCTGCTGCTCACCCACCTCCAGCTACAGCCCTCTCTCTGTTCCCTTCTGGCCTTATTTCTTCAAAGGCAGGTCGCACTCTGGTCTGCATTCTGCCTCCATCTCTCTACTGAACCTGTTCTCCATAATTTCACAAATGAATTGTGTCTCCCGCACACGCATACTCTTTCAGCCAGCAATTCCATGTAACAGAACTTTTAGCAGCACTTGCCTAGGAGATGGCAAAACTGAATGCTGGTGTTCACAACTGTTTCCAGCAAGCCAGAGATGTTAAATAACCATGAATATCGAGTAACAGTGGTATGCCTAAATTCTTAATGGACCTAGGACTTGGTTCAACCGACCGTATACAATCCAGCCTGTGTAGTCAACACAGCCTGCCTGTCCATGGAATAAGCTTTCAACTTTAATTAGTGTAAACATTATAAACACCCCCTTTAAAAATCCTTGACTTACTCCTCTCCATGACAACTCAGCCAACGGCTTTTCTGGTGTATTCCTCTGTCTGAAAAGTAAAGACAGCTGTGTTGTTTTTCTTTTATTTGTTTGTTTTACTTTGTTCCTGGGTGTTTTTTTTAATTCTGGTAGCCTTTTATCCTTTGCACCCTTTCCTTGGGCTCTAACCCAGAGAAGTGAAACCGTCAACTTCCTAAGGATGTAGGTACAAACACGCCCTTTGTAGCATTCAGCACAGGTCATACAAGTGGAAACCACTGAATGCTCATCAACAGAGGAATGGCTGAGTGCACTGGGGAGCACCATGCAGCCATTTAAAAGAATGAGTCAGATGCATAGCTATTGAACTGCAGAGGTTTCCAAGAGATCTATCTCTTGAGTGAGAAAAGCAAGCTTCCGGAAAATGTATACAGTGCAGCACAACTCTTTTCTTAAACAACCAAAGTCAACCGCTCCTAGAAGTGTATTCATGATTGAAGATGCACCTATGAATCCAGACTCTTGAGCAGACTCGTTGGGTTTGGCTCAAGAAAGCAGATTTACCTTGCCCTGGCTTACCCCAGCCAGCAGTCATATTCACTGTGAGCCAAAAGCTTACAAGGACTAAAACCAAGAAGATCTAGATTAGGGACCTACAAGGGGCTTCATCTGGTTCCTGGGTAGGTGACAAAGCCTGAGCCCTGAATCATCTTTCTAATGTGTACAAAGTCCCTAACCAGCACTGGCCCTCTCCTGTCCCCTGGTTTCCTCCCCTGAGTGCCATGAAGGACCAGGAAATAGCTGGGGTTGAGTGGGATTAAGACAAGAGGGAAGAAGAAAGAAGTGGAACTTCGTGCCTACTGTTCACATATAATTTTTTAGACTTCTTTTTTTATTTTTTAAATATTTATTGTTGAAAGTATTACATAGGTCCTCGTTTTCCCCCATCCTTTTCCACCTCTTCCAGCCAGGCCCTCATCACCCCATTGTCTGTGTCCATGGACTATGCATATATGCATACAAGTTCATTGGTTGATCCCTTAGAATTCTGGTAGAGGAAGCAGGCACCATGGTCAGTAAAATGAGGCCATTATAAATATTTACTTGGAATATAATGAAGACAAAAAGGCTGCATTCACCTGGAAAGGGCAAAGTTCATGAGAACTGTCCATGTATCCTGGGCAGTGACTCCATACTGCACCCTAATACCCGGGCCCCTAACCCTTCCTGCACCCATTATGAAGGTTGGACAAAAGGAGGCTCTCACTGCCGGCCTCTGTTAGGCCTCCTTCAATATCTGGTGTAACTGGGACCCTAATGCCAGGATGCTTGCAACCAGGTTCAGGGAGAGGCAGGCAGGAAGTCTCTGAGCTGTTGCTTTTCCAGGTTCTAGGCAGCCTGGCAACCTCTGGTCATTTATTGAAGGACGGGGCTCAGATGCGGTAGAAATCAGGAACTGAAGACTTTCGGGACCAAAAGGGGTCTAGCAGCCCAGCGAAGCCTCCCAGGCTGGCCTTCCATATGTTGGCCACCGCCTTCCCATGGTCCCGGTCCAGAAAAAGGGAAACTTTCCCCTCCGGAAGAGAAAGGCCCACTCACCCCCTCTATCAACCAGCTCTCCAAAAGGCCTGGGGCCTGCGGAGTGTCCTCATCCTTGCTCCCTCCAACCTGGAGGCTCTTGGCCCCAGGCCTCGCCAGGAGGGTCAGAGACGCTCTGCCGCATCCATCCTCTGGGCCTCACCCGGGCCAAGGGCCCTTATCTTCCCACAGCAGCTCGAACCAGTAGGCGCTGCCCTTCCCCATTCTGCTGGGCAGCTGGCAGGTTGGGGCTCGTCTGGGGCGGAGACTGGGGAGCGCCTGAAAGTAGCGAAGGGGGCGGCACCCAGACCCATCTTTAAAGACCCAAACTGCCTTAGGGCATCCAGACTCACGCCGGCGGCCCTGAGCGGCTCCCCCTCGCCATGGGCCGCTACCGCATCTGCGTGGCCACCGGGGCCTGGCTCTTCTCCGGGTCGCACAACCGCGTGCAGCTGTGGCTGGTCGGGGAGCGCGGGGAGGCGGAGCTGGAGCTGCAGCTGCTGCCGGCGCGGGGCCAGGTCAGCGGGGGCAGCTGGGACCCCAATCCCCGCCGGGCTCACGGCAGGAGGGGGCGGGGGGGGGGGCGAGTAACCGCGCGAACGCGCCCAATGGAACTCCCAGGAGTTGGGACGCCTGCCCCTAAGCGGGGAGAGGGTCGGGCTGGGCTCAAATCAACCCTTTCTCCCTCCCCCACCGACCGTGGTCCCCGCAGCCTCCACTACTTTCCCAGTTGACCCCAGGCCAGTGTCGTGGGATCAGTGGTCAAAGGGAAGGTCCTCCGAGAGCGCGGGCGCGGTGAGAGCTCGGTTAGTGGACGGGGTAGGTGATGATGCTCAGTGTTCAGTTCAAGACACTCAGGGCCTCGCCCCGCCTTCCTGTCCTCCCGGTGCGATGGGGCGTCTGAGACCCACCGCGCGGGTGTTGGGAGGAGGCAATGCTGTCCCTGGAGGCCTTGTCACCGACTCCAGACGGGACCCCGCATCCCAGTAAACGTCCTCTCCCGGGTCCCCGCTCCTAAGTCTCACCGGGTTCTGTCCCCACAGGTGGAGGAGTTCGAACACGACGTTCCCCAGGACTTGGGGCCACTGCAGTTCGTGAAGTTGCGCAAACACCACTCCCTGGTGGACGACGCCTGGTTCTGCGACCGCATCACCGTGCAGGGCCCAGGAGCCTTACAGGAGGCGGCCTTCCCCTGCTACCGCTGGGTGCAGGGCGAGGGCGTGCTGACCCTGCCCGAGGGCACTGGTGAGGGGCCACCTCAGGGAAGAGGGTGCAGGGCGTAGGGAGTAGTGGAGAGGATAGGGGGTGGGGTGGAGGGAGGATTGCACTGAGGATGGTCCTAGAGGCTTGAAAAAGTGCGTGCTCAGCAGGTTAAGGGTGGCCAAGGCAGGCAATGAGGGGAAAGTTACACATAGAATTAAAAAGGCTGGAAGTGGGACTGGACAGGGAAGTGAGTGATGTGTACATCCCACCTCCCAAGAATGTGAGCAGAGGGAATGGGAGGTGCAGCCACGCTGGGAAACAGAAGAGCCAAAGTAAAGGGGAAAGGAGATCTCCGTGTGACTGGGAACAAGTCAGGGCAGGGACAGGTAAGGCTAGCACATGTGACCCCTGAGAGGAGGCAGGGAAGGGGAGCAATAAATGATATGACAACATGGAAAGACACCTGTGAGGGCAGGGAGCACGCTGACGTGTTGGAATGAACAAGGACAGCAAATATTGAATTACTGTGTAAATAAGAGACAGGAACACAGAGACAAATGGGGGTGAGAACAGGTAAGGCTGGAAACATTACGTACCTGACTTTGCTACAGGTGAGTAAAAGTATTGATAAGAGGAAGAAGTCAGTAAACACGGACTTCAATAGTAAGTCTAGAGAAGATGAAGTCAGGTAAAGAAAGCAAACAGCTTTTGAGAACAGCTGAAGGTGTGGCAGGTGAGATGCAAGAAGTGAAAATTCAGCAAAGCAGTATGTAGTAGGAAAACAGTTGTGGGCATAGGGGTGACTAAGATTTAATCACCTTGCCCTAGCCAGTTTGGCTCAGTGGATAGACCCTTGACCGGAATCAGCCTGCGGACCTAAGGATCTGGGGTTCGATTCCAGTCAGGAGCACAGGCCTTCATTACAGGCTCCTCCTCGGCCCAGGTCCTGGTCGGGACTCGTGCAAGAGACAGCCAATTAATTTGTTTCTCTCATATCGGTGTTTCGCTCTGTCTTTCCCTCTCTCTTCCACTCTCCCTGAAAATCAATGGAAAAATATCCTCAGGTGAAGATTTAAAAAAAAAAAAGATTTTGTCACCTTAATTCTGGTGATTTATCCAACCATAGATATTGATGAAATAGGATCAGGTAGGGAAAGATGGATTAAGGGACAAGAAAATGGTGGCAAACATGACACTTTGGTCTCAAGGCAAGAGATGAGGGCTGAGATAGGAGTGCGAAGTTGGGATAAATGTGTCTGGGGAATCAATGAACTGAGGAACAGCCAGAGATAAAAGCAACAGAGCACAACTGAACACATGGACTACGATACAAAAAGGATGGTGAGGACATACAGAGCACAGGACCACGCAAAACTGTGTGGCCAATTGTCTTCATGTCTCCCCAGCCCGCCTGGCAGGAGACAATGCATCGGATGTGTTCCAGAAACATCGAGAGAAGGAACTGAAGGAAAGACAGCAAGTATACTGGTGACCACCCACCCATATTAGACCCCAAGTTTCACCCTCCCCCCAGCCCTGCCCACATCACTGACCTGAACCTTGTCCCCATGTCCTAGCTGGGCCACCTGGAAGGAAGGCTTACCCCTGACTATAGCTGCAGGCAGTAAGGACGATCTACCTCCAAATGTGAGATTCCACGAGAAGAAGAGGCTGGACTTTGAATGGACACTGAAGGCTGGGTGAGGAAAAGCCTGGAGCTCAGAGTAGACTAAGGGCTGGGAGGCCCAAGAATGGTGGTAAATAGTGAGGGGCTGAGGAGTCAGCAAATGGGCTCATGCCTCAATGCCTGTCCTAGGGCACTGGAGATGGCCCTCAAGCGTGTTTACACCCTCCTGAGCTCCTGGAACCATCTGGAGGATTTTGATCAGATCTTCTGGGGCCAGAAGAGCTCCCTGGCTGGTCAGTGATTCCCCCAGGTGCCTATAAACCTGTGATGGCCCCTTTTGATGACCCAACCTCCATACTCCATAGTCCCCAATAAGGCCTTGCCAGATGAGACGTCATCTCAGAGAGGGGCTGGATACAGGGCAGTCATATGCCTGAATCACTGGGGTAGAGCCTAGAGGAGGGTTGTGGTGAATATCTCCTCCTCTTGGGCTGGTAAACCCACAATACAGTATACAGATGATGTATTATAAAATTATACACCTGAAACTTACATAATTTTGTTAACCAATGTCACCCCAATAAATTCAATTTTTTTTAAAAAGAATATCCTCCTACCCTCCACCCTTACCCCACAGAGAAGGTTCACCAGCGCTGGCAGGATGATGAACTTTTTGGCTACCAGTTCCTCAATGGCGCCAACCCCATGCTGTTGAGACGCTCCACCTCTCTGCCCTCCCGGCTGCTGCTGCCCGCAGGGATGGAAGAGCTTCAGGCCCAGTTGGAGAAAGAACTCCAGGTATCTCCTCCCACCCTACACTGTTCTCTCCTTGTCTGTGTGGGGAGAAGTGGTGAAGAGGAGGAACCAAAAGTGAGTCTGGGAAGGGAGGCTGTGGTAACCCTTGTCCTTGGGTGAGGAGTCCTGTGCTGGAACAAAACCCAGAGATGACAAAACATGTAGGAGAAACTATGAGGAACTCCCAGCATGGACGTCCAAGGTGCATGCAGGTGGGGCCAGACATGTTAACTGGGACAAACACATTCCCAGTGTTCATGGGCAGCAAGAAAGGTGAAGAATGCACTGTCAGCCCAGCAGTGTGGCTCAGTGGTTGAGCATTGACCTATGAACCTGGAGCATAGGGTTCAAATCCTGGTCAGGGCACATGCCCACTTAGCAGGCTTGCTCCCCAGTAGGCGGCATGCAGGGAGCAACCAATCAATGATTCTCATCATTGATGTTTCTCTTTCTCTCTCTCCCTCTCCCTTCCTCTCTGAAATCAATAAAAGTATATTTAAAAAAAAAAATGCACTGTCAGGTGGGGGGAATTGAGGAGGTTTCCTGGAGGAGGAAGCTGGATACAGGAAAGATGAGCTGGATGTAAGGCAGACGAACAAAGCAGGATGTGAGCATGTCCATGTGCATGTGTCTGGATTCCGTGGCAATGGCAGTCAGGGAACCTCTGTGCATTACTTGGCAGAGGAGGTGAGGTTTGGACAGCGAGTGAAAGAGCGTTGGCTGAGCTGATGGGCGCCCAACACAGGGAGCAGAGCGCTAGGGGACGTTGGGGAAGGGGCACAGCCTTCTTGACATGGGAGAGTTTGCAATGCCGACAATGCAAACTGGACTGAGAGGCCAGGTACTAGACCCAGACCTGCACAAGCCATCAACCCACACTAGGTTGTTCCTTCGTTTATTTAAAATGAGATGCTCTGGTTCTGCCAATAGGCTCTGGTACTAATATAGGATGATGGCAAGACACTAGACAAATGTCTTTATTTTTTTAATTAAATTTATTGGAGTGATGTTGGTTAATAAAATTAAGTATCTTTAAATGTCTTCCCCCCTTTGCCCTGTCCCTGCAGATTTTGAATTCTAACGATGGGTATGTTCGTCTCTTCCCCAGAAAGGTTCCCTGTTTGAGGCTGACTTCATCCTTCTGGATGGAATTCCAGCCAATGTGATCCGAGAAGAGCAGCAGTACCTGGCCGCCCCCCTTGTCATGCTGAAGATGGAACCCAGTGGGAAGCTGCTGCCCATGGTCATCCAGGTGAGGCACCAAGGCATCCGCCTCCCAACACTGCTCTCTGTTCATCCCAACCTCTGCTCCCAGGGACCCAGCCTCCTGGTTCTTGGTTCCCAAATTCCATCCTCACACAGTGAGACGTGTCCTCAAGTCAGTCTTTGCTTGCAGCCTGGTTTTCCCTGTCTCACCCAACTGGAAGTACCTGTTCAAGAGTCATAATGGCCTCTTGGAGTTCTCACCCTGTACTCAGTGGTTCTCAAACTTTAGTGTGCGTTAGAACCACCTGAAGGGCCAGTTAAAACACAGGTTCTGGGTCCACCACCAGATTTTCTGATTCAGTAGATCTCGGATGGGGACTGAGAATTTGCCTTGCTAACACGTTCCAAAGTCATGCTGATGCTGCTAGTTTGGGAACACACTTTGAGAATCACTATTTACTCTCTCCGTAGCCTTGACTCTAAATACACATTGTTTCCTCAATATCTTTTCTCCCAAAATTCTCAACTTTCAGCAAACACTGTCAATTATCTAACACATCCAGCTTCTCCTTTTCAATCCCCCCACCCTAACTCAGAACCTCACCACAGTTCTCCCAAACCACTGTTAGAATCTCCTTACTGGGCTCCTGCTTCTGACTCTCCTGCATTCAACCTGACCATCATGGCACTCATATGGCCGCACAGCCAGTGAGAGGCAGGGTGGAAGGGCCCTCGTTCCTCCTACTAGATTATAACTTCCTGGAAAATAATAACCTTACTTAGTCCTCTCTGTTTCCCCAGGAATGGTGACCATATTATCCTTCATAAAGTGGAAGTTCAATAAATATTCAATTTCTTTTTCCCAGATCCAGCCTCCCAACCCCAGCTCCCCCACCCCATCACTGTTTCTGCCTTCGGATCCTCCACTTGCCTGGCTCCTGGCAAAGATCTGGGTCCGAAATTCAGATTTCCAACTGCACCAGCTCCAATACCATCTGCTGAACACTCATCTGGTGGGTGAAGTCATCGCTGTCGCCACCATGAGGTGCCTCCCAGGACTGCACCCTGTCTTCAAGGTAAATCCTCTACCCTCCATGTCCCATCTTGCTCAGACCCAAGAGAGGAAATGGCCAGTATCACATGATACTGCAGCAGCAAAAAATGTTTACATCCATTTGTGAAAGAAGGAGGGAAGAAAAGGAAGACTGTGTCAATATTTTAAGACTTGCGTTTTAATTGCATCAAGTCACCTAATGTTTCTTCAGGACATGTAATAAGGGAACCCTCTGAAATTCCAGAGACCTGACCAATCTAGCAATGACCTGGAGTATTGCTGGACAATTGTTAGTAAAACAAAACCCTTGCTCCTGTCCTAGGAGATTTATTGCTTATCCAGGAAGACAAGTGATGCCCATAAGAACCAGAGAAAAATATCTGGAACTAGAATTTGAAATCACAAGAGACAGCCTATAAACACTATAGTATTGACGGAGAATGTCCCACCCCAACTGAGGAGTCTGCTGTAGAAATGGATCAAAAGGCAAGGAGAACGCCCCAGTAGGTTACTTATACCTGCCCAGGAAATAGGTGGAGAAATACATGCAAAGTGGTTACAGGAATGACAAAAAAAATCAAAGACTTGGAGGAAACAGCAGGTGCACATGACTTCAAGTAAGACCGAAGAGAGAAAGGTCACAGGTCTAAGCTGTAACACCTAAGAATCTACAGGATGGGTGGGTTGTAATTTTATAAAAGAGTAACTCAGTATCTACTGCCAGGCAAAAGGAAGCAAAATAGGACTTGTGCTTGTTTGAAAGTATTCTCAAAATCTTTTTTATTGTTGTTGTTGCTAATCCTCACCTGAGGATATTTTTCCATTGATTTCTAGAAACAGTGGAAGGGAAGGGGAAAAGACAGAGAGAAACATAGATGTGAGACAAATGGATTGGTTGTACACACCTGAGGCCGGGGATGGGGCCTAAACCGAGGTACATGCTCTTGACCAGAATCAAACCCAGGACCCCTCAGTCCACAGGCCGACGCTCTATCCACTGAGCCAAACTGGCTAGGGCTATTCTCAAAATCCTGATGACACTTTAGGTATAAAGAACATGGCAGAGAAGGGACAATACTGATACAAGCTTATGAACCAGAGCAAAGCTTTGGCTCTTCTGTTTCCCAAAAACAGCAAAGTCATGAGAGAAAGCCAGTTTGGAAGCAAACACAAGTTGTTTAGTGTCAGGTCCACAAAGTTTGAAATGTTGGCAAGATATGCAAATGAGTATCTGGGTAAGGAGAACTGAACTGTGTTTCAAGCTGAAAGTTTACACCCTGACCCTCAAACCTGCCCAGTATTAACTATGGCCTCAGTGAGTCTGGGGTAACATAGACAAGATGGAATCTGTGCAATTAATAGAATCTTGGATTTTACTGACCTCATGGTGCTCCTGCATCACAATCTGCTGCTCACCCCCCTTTACTAGTTCACCCCTCTCCACACCTCCATCCACTCACCAAAACAGCTTCATCTCCTGGCAAACCACCGAGCTGTTATCAGGACACACAGGAGAAGGAACCTGTAATGTAGGCAGGCTCTGGATTCAGACTGCCAGCATCTACTCCTGAATCCTGGCCTCAGAACTGACCAGAGGCTTGCTTCAGTGTCCTCATCTCTAAATGAGGACAACAGGAGCTCCACCGTGGGTTGTTGAAGGATAAAACGACATAACAATGTAACACGGGCTGAAAGCTAGAAAAACCCTTAGTTCTTGCAATTGCGATTATTATTACTCTTATTAGAAATCGATTGTCCTCAGGTATCTTCTCTCCTCATGTGGACTTTGGACTTTCTATGACAACTCAACCTCTTTCATCAACTTTCTGAAAAGTTTCAGACGGTGAGCTGCTTTGACATCTTGACACCAGAGGTATCACATTCCCTGTGTCCAGCATCAACTCAGATACCAACACTACAGAAGACCTGTATATAAACTGGGTGGAAATGAACACAAAATAGTCTGAGATAAAAAGAAATGTACATCCTCATGTAGCCTTAACACCTCAGGAAAGCTATTCTTTAGAAAAGCTATTAAAAATAACTGCCTAAGGGGATGGTGCAGCCCCCATGTTGCTTCAGTAGGTACCTTAGAACGCCTCCTTTTATTCTGAGTAAAGGTATTCACCCCCTAAAAGCCAACAGTGAAGCGACCAGAAGAGTGTGGCTTTGATGATGAGTAAAGAGGAAATTATGAGCTATGAGGAAGCAAATGATAGAAATATAAAAGAAAATCGAAAGGGGATGATTCTTTCAAGTCAAACACTCAAGGTGGAAATAATGAAGATAAATGACAACAGCTGAGACCTGAGGACTTCTGTGTGTACGAAACCCTCTTCATACGTCACTCACCTAAGCATCACCACTGCCTCTTAAGATAAGAAACCCTATTATCACCGCCTGTTGGCAGATGAGGTGACAGATAGGGGATAAGACAGATTATTATTAGAGGGTCCAGTGCCTTGGGCAAGGATCAGAGTGTAGATTGGAACCCAGGTAGGTCTAGCTCCAGAGCCTGACTCACAGGGGAGTAAAGAGCATGAGAACGAGTGACCAGAGAAGTAGGAGGAGGCCAGCCTGCAAAGGCGCTAGCAAGGAGGAAAGCATCAAGAGGACAGGAGGCCACCATGCTGAGCGCCACTCCCTGATAAAGAAGGGCCCAAGCACGGCCTCCATAAACCACTCCTCCAACCTTCTCCATCCAGCTCCTGATCCCACACACCCGCTACACCATGGACATCAACACACGGGCAAGGACCCAACTCATCTCAGAGGGAGGTGTGTTTGATAAGGTAAGGGGGTAATGGAATGTGGGGCCGCCTAACTGCTGTCATGTTCAAGATCCCAGACCAACCGGTGTGAATGCCCTGACCCTTAAACCCAGGAGCCTGTCCCTTTATGCCCATGTCTTTAAATGTGAGAACCCCACATCTGAACCTCCTGTACACTATGCTCTGTCTTCTTCCTCAAGGCCTCTCATCTCTTTGTCCCAGGCTGTGAGCACCGGTGGAGGCGGCCATGTGCAGTTGATCCGTCGGGCCATGGCTCAGCTGACCTACCGCTCCCTCTGTCCTCCTGACGATCTGGCTGACCGGGGCCTGCTGGGCATCCCAAGTGCCCTCTATGCCCATGATGCTTTACAGCTCTGGGAGATCATTGCTCGGTGGGTCAGAGTGGGAGCTGAGAAATGACAATGAAAATGGGGCTTTGGCCTGAGATCATCATGGGACAAAAGGAACATGAAACAAGAAGGTCCAGACGGGAGGAGCAGAGGACTCGATCCTGGGAGAGATGAGGGACAGTGAGGAGACAGCGAGTAGGGTCTGATAAGGAAGAGACTAGGATGGGGGTAGACAGCCTCCCCTGGATGGGGAGACTGGGGGATCTGGAGAAATCAGGGTTTTTGTTCCAACTGTGTCCATTTTATCTATCAACCATGTATGGAGAATTTCTACAAGTGACCAAATTTCATTCCTTTCTACACTAATGTCTCAAAAGACAAGTCTTGAAAGTTCTACACTCAGACACAGGAAGAGTGTGTTGGACAGAGGCCACAGAAAGGCGTAGAGGTTAGAGGCTACAGCCTTGTACTCTCAAGGAGCTCAGCTCCCTTCTCCTCTGGGCAGGTACGTGGAGGGGATCGTCCACCTCTTCTACCACGGGGATGACGTCGTGAGAGGGGACCCTGAGCTGCAGGCCTGGTGTCGGGAGATCACTGAGGTGGGGCTGTGCCAGGCCCAGGACCGAGGTAAGTTCCCTCCCTAGAGAAGAGAACTCCTTGGACACTCTGCCCAGAGCCCCTTGTCAGCCTTGCCCTTCTGGGGACATGATCCCAACCCTTCATCCCCCTCTCACCCTCCACACATGAAGCATCTGGATCTCATTCCCACCTCCTAAGTCTCAGGACAATCCTAGGAACTCAAAGATTATCCTCCTCAAAAACCCTGACCATCAACTTTTATGTCCCTCCCCCTTGTCTAGTCACAGATGACCCCAACCTGCCACAGCATGGGGCTCAGTGGGTCCAGAACCACAGCCAGTGGGTGGGGGATCTGCCCAGGCCCTACTAGAGGCATGTCTCCCGTGGTGTCTCTTTTCCTGCCTGAGGATATGAATGGGAAGATTTTCCCACCAAATCCCACAATGACCCACTCTGGTTTTCCGTTCTTATCCTGTCTGCTACTGTCCAGCACACACAGAGGGTCCAGGCATACTGCACCCTTCACCACAGTGCACGGTCATTCCAGGTGCAAGCTCAGTACTGTACATGCTTTGGCTCAAACCTACACTCAGTTCCCTGTCCCTTAGAGCTCACATTCCTTTGCCAATCTGTCCTGCCCCCGCCCTGCGGGGATCTAGCCACTGGCTTAAGATCCAGTCATTAGCTTTAGCATACCCGAATCACATTGAACTGCTGGGGAAGAAACTGCCTTTCCTGAGCTCTCCTAGGTTCATCCTCCTCTCTCTAGCACACATGGACCAACCTGGACTGCTTCAAATCGCCCTTCAGTCCCTGCTCCTCACACTTCACACCAGCGTCTCTGCCTCTGTAGGGCACCTACAGACAGTTACTGGGGAGCCACTGTGGTCAGACCCGGGAGGCACAGTGAGCAATAAGCCAGCACCTGCGCTCCGGAGGGGCCTCTCCCCGCGGAATCTGAGGCAGCACCATCCCCACCCCCCCAGGACCAAACTCTCTAGGACATCCCAGTACCATCCCTTAGGCTCCACATGCCCCCAAGTCTCCACTTCCTCTGCCTGGCCATCTTTTCCCCAACTAGTACCAACTGCAGTTGGAAAATACAACCTCCACATGTTAACTTTAACCTCCAACTAACGGCCTCTCGTTCTCTCTCCCTCAGTTCTCATAGCTGACTTTTCCCTAATTTTCCCAACAGACTTGTAGAGGAAACATGTTAAGATTAAAAACTGTCAAAAAAAAAAAAAGATTAAAAACTGTCAGAAATTAGCAGTCAGGATCCCAAGTTCAAGGTCAGCCTCTGCCTTTTCCCAACTGTGTCTGTCTTATCTATAAAAGGAGAGTGATTATACTTGTTCCACTTAACTGATAGGATTGGGTGGCCTGAGATAACTTTTGTAGAAAGCCTCTCTTGGCTGTGACACTAGAAATCATGACTTCTCTTATTCCTCACCTTATAATTGGGAAATAGAGGGGAGCAACCCTAAATTCTTAACCATTTTTTAAGGCAGGGATATTTGATCACTTAACGCTTTCAACCCCCAACCCTTCCATAATGACAATAATTATTATTTATTAAGCAGTTATATCAATATTTGATACAGTATCTCATTTAGAAGGTAAGTATCATCCACACTTTATAGGTGAAAAAATTGAGGTCAGAGAGTTAATTGGCTTAAGGTATCCAAACTGGATTGCTTGAGCCTGAACTGAAACTAATGTCTGATGCAAATATATCTGAATAAATGAACCAACACCCATCAATTCTAAAATGCAGACATCAACCTTTATTTCTCTCCTCTCATGCTGTAGCCTCTAAATCCTATTCCTTTCCTCCCCAGGTTTCCCTGTCTCCTTCCAGTCTCTGAATCAACTCTGCCATTTCCTTACCATGTGTGTGTTCACGTGCACAGCCCAGCATGGGGCCATCAACAAGGGCCAGGTATGGACAGATGAAAGCCCAGGTCCCGAAAGCAAGTGGATACCCAAGGGAGAGATAGGGGTTCAAACCCTAAGTGCCAGGATCCTAGGGTTGTACTTTCTTTCCCCAGCTGGACTGGTATGCCTGGGTGCCTAATGCCCCGTGCACAATGCGAATGCCCCCACCCACCGCCAAGGAAGATGTGACAATGGCCACAGTGATGGGCTCACTCCCTGATGTCCAACAGGCCTGTCTTCAAATGACCATCACATGGCATCTGGGTCGACGCCAGCCAGACATGGTAAGTGAGGACTCTGGGGAGAGAAATGATTATGGAAGGGGAACATCAGAGTGAGGGGCTAGGCTCTAGGTCAGTGATGGCGAACCTATGACACGCGTGTCAGAGGTGACACGCAAACTCATTTGTTTTGGTTGATTTTTCTTTGTTAAATGGCATTTAAATATATAAAATAAATATCAAAAATATAGGTCTTTGTTTTACTATGGTTGCAAATATCAAAAAATTTCTATATGTGACACGGCACCAGAGTTAAGTTAGGGTTTTTCAAAATGCTGACACGCCGAGCTCAAAAGGTTCGCCATCACTGCTCTAGGTGCTTCTGCCTTCAAACTAGAAACTGACTGATCCTTTGTTCGTTCTTAGGTTCCTCTGGGGCATCACAAAGAACAGTATTTCTCGAGCTCCAAGACCAAAGCTGTACTAAACCAATTCCATACAGATCTGGAAAACTGGGAGAGGGAAATGACAGCCCGCAATGAGCAACTTGACCTTGCCTACGAATACTTAAAGCCCAGCAACATAGAGAACAGTATCACTATCTGAGCTCTATGGTGCCCCCACCTGGAAAACTTCAGCTCTCCAAAATAAATTCTCTACATCAGTAGCCCACTGGCCCAGGCAGGGTGGTGGTGGTGGGGAGAGTGGGGTGCTAGGAGGGAGGGGGAGGCAGCAAACCTTTTCTGTAAAAGGCCACATAAAAATTGTATGGTTTGTAGGCCACAGAGACTCTGTCACTACTCACCTCCCAGTGTAGCAAATGGGACAATATGAAACTGAATGAGTGTGAATGTGTTCCAATAAAACTTTATTCATGCTCAGTGAAAGGTGAACTTCACGTGTCACAAAATATTCTTTTGCTTTACATTTAAAAATACAAAAACAAAACAAAACTAACACCCCTGTGCTTTGCGAGAGACGTGCACAGGCTGCAGGCTGAATGTGGCCCTCAGGGGCAGTACCTGGACAAGGCTGCCTGATCTGGCCTGAGGCACTGACCCTACTTGCAAACATCCAGAGAGAATGCTCTCAGGGGTGGGTGGGGAGACTTCTTGGAGAAATGAACTACCTCAACTAATTCTCCTTTCCCTGGAGCTAGACTTCATGCTTGGTGGGCAACTTAAAAATTCCTGATTCTGTTCTTTCCCAACTTGCCCTCCACCGCTATTCACACACTTACCCCCAAAAGTCCTGGAATACAAAAGGTGCTCCTAGAGAAGACTAAAATCTGTTGGTTTCCTTCCCCAAATAGTCTCAAACAAAAGAGACATGAAATTCATGTCTCAAGACCATTTCCCAGTCCCTTTAGTACACTGCAGTCACTACCTGTGATCCAGGTTCTATGTTCTCTCTCATTACCCTTTTCAGAACAATATGCACAAAATAAGTGAAAAAGAACCACAAAATTATACTAGCCACAGTTTGTTTGTCGTGGGTTCAGAATGGCCCCTCTCAGTCATGCTTTGATCACTGTCTTCACTAGACTGGGTACGAGCTCAGAACAGAACCGTGTTCTTCAAACATGCATTTTTACAAACCTGCCTCTTACCAGTGAAGTATACAAGCTTTTTCTCTGGAGTGAATGACTTCCTCATATTTTTAAAGTCGTGTCCCCTACCGTATTCAAAGGGCCTATCATCCGTTTCCTTAGTTTGCAGTAGGGAAGCAAAGTGATGTTTTGTGTATTATTTCTTTCTCCAGTACATTTAGCAGGACCACTCACCTTCACAACCTACCCACAGTCTACTTTCCCTCGGCTTTTCCCGACGCCCATATTTTTCCTGGATTTGGCATCCAAAACCTCGTAGTATTCCATGTGTGGTAGCAAACGTCACTCAAGTATCCCCAATGCCCAGAACGCTCCGCAATTTGGAAGCGTTCTGGCCGCACCCGTCCGCTTGACCTCAGGAAGGGTCTCATGTCCTTGTACTGCGCCGCAATATCTCTTTTTAAGGGTAGGAGTGCGCGGGGAAACGGGCCTCCCTCGGCGTGAATTTCTATGTCCCCCACAGGAGAGATGCCACCCAAAAGTACAGCATCTGAGGGGGCAAGTCCGTTCCAATCCCCCGCTACCGAGAGCCCACCTCCAAGGTGACCAGGCGCTCCGCGACCTAGACGCCTTCCCCCAAAACCAGCCGCTGGGGGCTCCTCGTCATGTGACCTGCCAAACCGGATCACGTGACGTTCCGGCTCCTTCCATTACAACCTGGAGGGGGGGGAACCAAGAAACGTTAGGCACTTGCCCTTCCCATACTCGCGCCCCGGATACGAGTATGGGTCGGTGAGGGACTCCGGGGAGCGGCGTGGTGTCCGAGCCGCCTTTGGCCACCAACGCCTGGAGGACAGCCCCAGCCGCCCGGTGTCCTCCGCCCGGCGCCCCCCCCCCCCGCGCGCCAAGGTTGGGCCCGAGGCCACGCCCCTCGGCCGGCCTCCAGCCTGCAGTCCGCGGCGCGAGCCCCCGAGTCCAGCCGCCTCTACCAGCTCCGGCGTCTCGGGCATTCCCTTCACCGCCTCTCCGCTCGGCCCCGATCTCGGCGACCCCCGACTTCCATCTTCATGGTGTCGCTTCTGTGCTGTGGGCCCAAGCTGGCCGCCTGCGGCATCGTCCTCAGCGCCTGGGGAGTGATCATGTTGGTGAGGGGCCGGCCTGCGAGGACTGGAGAGGACCTGGGGGCCGGGTGTGGGGGTGCTGGGAGGCTGGGAGGCTCCAGGCCTTAGAAAGCAGCAGCAGGTGGGGTGTGTGTGTCGGGGGGGTGTCGTCTTTGGGGAACAAGACAGAACTGAGATTGAGAAATAGGGAACTAGAGTGGGGCGGGCCGTGGAGGAGGGAGCTGGGAGGGGAGTCCGGGCTGGTAAATCTGGTAAGAGGAGGACGCGCTGGGCTCCTGCGAGATACCTAAACCGAATTTCGCTCCCGACATGTGTAGCTGGGGCCTTGTTTGCCCAGGACTCTGCCCGCCCCACTCCGGGAGGAAATAACACCTGCCGATCCCCCCGGATCCCTTCTGCCCTGTCCCGTGATAATGACGCCTCTGAAGAGGGGAATGGCCCGGGTTGCTGGGTTGCTCACCGTTCCGCCCTGTCCCCAGCCCAGGCGTCTCGGTCACCGCCTCCTGCCCTGTTCCAGGCGACTGAGTGCGACTCTGGCAGCAGCTACCTCCATTCCCAGCGCATTCTGTTCATTCCCAACCCCAGGTGTTGTGGCAACACGAGACGTGGAAGGGGTTTAGGGAGTGACCCGCGCAGACGCCTGAGGTCAAAACCTACCCGTTCCGTTTCAGATAATGCTCGGGATCTTTTTTAACGTCCATTCGGCCGTGCTCATTGAGGACGTTCCCTTCACGGAGAAAGATTTTGAGTAAGTGTCGAGTGGGAGAGGCTGGGGGAGGGGAGAGGGCGGAGCCTGCGGCGGGGGGTTTCAGGAGGCTGGATGCCAGGGGCCCAGTGCCTCGGACAGCCGGTGCGGAGAACTGCCCTCTTTAGCGTACAGTTTGCATTGGTCTCGGGAGTCAGGCCTCGGCAGCCATCCTAAGCCCGCCACTTTAGTTGTGGCTTCTTGACGTATTTTACTTGACTTTCCTGTGCCTCCGCCCCCCTCTGCAAATGGATGCTGTACTAGAACTCACCCCATAGGGTGAAGAAGACTGAGTTAAGGTAATGCACGTGAAGGCACGTAGAACCCGTCCTAGCACATGGTCAGTGCTCTGTGAGTGTTGGCCGCTGTTCCTGTTTCTGACACTTCTCTGCCTAATCCCCTCCCCTAGGAATGGCCCCCAGAACATATACGATCTTTACGAGCAAGTCAGCTACAACTGCTTCATCGCTGCGGGCCTTTACCTCCTCCTCGGAGGCTTCTCCTTCTGCCAAGTTCGGCTCAATAAGCGCAAGGAGTATATGGTGCGCTAGAGCGCGGCCGCAATCACCCCCTTCAGCCCCCTCCCTCTTCTATTTAAAGACTCTCCCCACCGCCGACTGACCCTCATTCCGGGGCCCAGCCCCGGGGGAGGGAGGCTGGGGCTGGCTGTCCCTGTCCCTCCGGCCCCCTCGCCTTTTCCCAAACGACAATAAAGAGAAGCTGCTCTCTTAAGCCTGGAGTCTGTGCTTGGGTCGGGAGAGGCGGGCACTGGGGGCTGGATCCCGGCCTCGGAGTAGGCAGTCCCTACCCCTCGACGGAAGTGTAGTGGAGCCGGACCGGAAGGGAGGCGGTCCCTTCCACTCCCCTCCGCGCGCCGAGGCGGCCGAAGTAACCTGCTGGTGAGGCGCTGAGCCGCCGAGGTCGAGCCAATCAGCTGCGGGGAGGGGCGGGACTTCCTGCGCGGGTCGGCGCGCCGGATCGGCTGGCTCTCGGTGGTCCCGGCTCGCTGGCGGCGGCGGCGGCTGCGTCTCCGTGCCGGAGGCGCACGGACCATGACGTCAGCGTCCACAAAGGTTCGACCTCCCTGGCGGACAGCGCTCCCTGGCGGCCACGGGAGGGCGTCCCCGCCAGTCCGCTCGCGACTCTTCCGCCTGGGGTGGGGTTTGGGGGGCGGGAGGCCGGCGGGAAGCGAGCCTGGGGTGGGGCTAGGGGTCTGGGCGGGACGGCCCGGGGCTGTGCCGCGGCCCCCAGTCATGCTGCCCCACCCGCAGGTCGGAGAGATCTTCTCCGCGGCGGGTGCCGCCTTCACGAAGCTCGGGGAGCTGACGATGCAGCTGCATCCCGTGGCCGACTCTTCCCCCGCGGGGTACGTGAGCCCCGGCCTGGGACGCGGAGGCTGAGTGCGGACGCCAGGACTCGGACACTCTAGGGCAGGGACAGGTGTTCGCTCTAGTGGGCCTTTGTGCGGGTGGACATGCGTGAATGAACGACAGGGGAACCGCAGACCATAGGCCGCCACTACTACCCACCCACCCGGTCTGGGGGACTCCCAGACGGCTGCAGACTGTCCAGGTGTCTGTCAGACCCCCCTACGCTTTGAATTGGTTTCAGTGGGCGGTTTACAGCAGCTATTTCACGATAACGGGGAACAGGCTTGCTTGTAATGTGGCGGCTGTTGCAATATGCTTGGGGGTCCTCGGGGTTCCCAAGGCATCTTAAGAGCTTTCTTTTCTTTTTTGAGGAAGATCTCTTTATGGATCTATGGGAGGGGCTCCAGGGATGGGGAGGGGGGGCTGGTTGCTGTGGAATGCATAGCCTGGGGGCTGGCTCCACACCCCTCCTCCTCCCACTATTCCCCTCTCCCCTCTGACAGTGCCAAGTGGACGGAGACGGAGATAGAGATGCTGAGGGCTGCTGTGAAGCGGTTTGGGGACGATCTTAATCACATCAGCTGTGTCATCAAGGAACGGACAGTGTGAGGGAGGGGTGGCTGGTAGAGAAAGAGGGGGGTGGGCAGCTTTCTTCCTCCATACCCACTGTTCCATCTTTCTCAGAACTCCTAGCTCAACATCTTTCCCGCTTTGTTGCTAGTTTTCAGTTTTGTTAGCATCCCCCTGAGGACTGGAAGATAAAAGAACTGTCACAATTGGTCAGAAGTTATTCAAACGCTACTGTAATCAGGACCTTCCAAGATTGCCCGAGACACCCAGTAATTGAATTTGGTCATGGGAGTTGCCTGATGATTTACATAGATCTTTTGAGACTCGATTGCTGTGTTTCCAGGGGTACTGTGATTCTGAACCAGTTTATCAGATTCTACCTGTAGATCACTGAGACTTACCTGTTTGCTTTTCACATCCATACTTCTCTCCCAAAAGAGAATTAGGAGATGGGCCCTTCCCACTACTCAGTTGAGGAAATTCACTCATTACACTCATCTACCCTGAGTGAGTGAAAAGCTTCAGGAAGATGAGACCC